CTTGGTGAGAATCAGACTTACAAAAATTGGTTTATAATGTTATCATCCTATGCCTTTTCTATACAGTAAAGTATTGGTAAAGCCTGTATATAATGATTAAAGAATTTGCACCAAATGCTTAACAATACCCAATCCATTCCAATCCTTAATTCTGGAAATTGTTAAAAAATACTCTCATTTCATTTTAGGCTGAGTCTTGTGAGAATGACTAACTTCCTACATTCTTTGTAAATTCCATGTGTTGAATTCTCCTATTTTCAAGTGCAAAATTCCACCCACATCACACATATAAAGTGATCTTCTTAGAGAGGCCTTGGAAAACATGACTTTCATGATACTTAGGCCAATTTAAAAACTTACTTAAAACCTTTTAATATGAAGAAAAAGATTCAGCTACATATTAAACCTATTCATTTTTGTATGTTTACTGATATTGAAATCAAAACAGTCTTCAGTTAGGCTATATTTTTTAGCTTTAATGTTTTTGAAAAATCAAATAACGAAAAAGAAAATCAGAATTTAATTCCTTTTAATATGGAAAGTTTGATTCTTCTTCACTTGTTCTCCTTTTAATCTGCATAAATCTTTGGTCAATTTTATGATTTGCAGGAATAAACATCACTTATTAACTAACTGATTGATGTTTGAACTGAATTTACAAAACTGTTTTTACTGCTTTGTGACTAGGACGTTACTTCTCTTTCAAATTAAAGTTCTACTATAAAATAAGTTATCTACACTTTATGAATTAGATAATGTAAACCAATTACATACTTCATATTTATGAAACTTAATTTAGTCTATAACAAGACCGAATGGATGTAAATGAAAGATTGTATTGAACCAATCTTACAAGTGAGGAGGTGTGCTTGCTTTAAAAATCAACATTCAAATTCCTAGCATTTGATAGGCAAACCAATCTACACCTATTGAAGAAAAAATAAATACTAAATAAAGTTTCAGAGTTTAGGCAGATAGTACAGAGTGGAAGTAAACTTTAGAAGGAAGCAGAAACCCAGTCCTGAACAGGAAACAAGGGATAAACCTCTACTCCTGTTCAAAAGACCAGAGAGGTGTGTGAAACAGATGATAGGTGAACCTATGTATGCATTCTTAATCCACACAGGGAAAATAGTGTTAGAATTCTTTATAGAAAGCTTCTTATAATCCTCAACTGTGCATAACATTATCCCACTTTTAAAATCAAAATAATTTTATTAAATTATTAATTTATATTATTATTAATTATAAATTAAATTTATTAAATAAATTCCATTATGGTGTCTGGTATTTATAAATTTAAGTGTAGTACTAGATTGGCAGCTAGGTCTCATTATTTTACAGTTGAAATGGCTAGATGTAACCATAAGTTCTATGCTAACAGTTTGTTTTCTCACACTTCTCACTTGTGAAACTCTCTTCTAGCTTTTTGCTTCCCAGTCAACTTTGATCTTCAAAAATTCAAATACACTGTCAATCATTATCTTCTGTTTCATATTCTCTAATACTCAGTAACCCCTTATGTCCTAGTGGCTTTTATTGCCTTGCTTAGTGTGAAATGGTTAAAAAATGTTTCACATTATTATTTGAAAAGAAATTAATAACAAAGAGCTAAGTGCACACTGGGAACCTACATAGATCTACTGTCTAATATGAAAGGACAGGAACTGATAAGGGTTTTTTTTTTTTGTTGCAACTGACAATGATTAAGTCACTATTTCAATCAAAGATTAAATATCAGGTTTGTCTGGAAGAGACATGATGATTGGAAACAAGGTAGAAAGAGTTGATCAAGTAAAGAAAGAAAATAAATTAAAAAGAAAGAATAAATGAGAAACAGGTAAAAAATTTTTTAGGATAAATTGGTTTCATTAAGAGAGTATTATTGAGTAAACAAAAATAAGGTAAACTCCAAAAACAAACTGACCATAACACTGAACTAATCTCAGTACAAGGGTGTGTGTATGTGTGTGTGTGTGTGTGTATATATATATATATATATATATATATATATATATATATATATATATTTATGGTGAACTATCTGCAGGCAAGAGTTCCAGACACAAACTTAGGAAGTGCTTTAAAGACTGCATCAAAACTAATCTCAAAGCTCTTAGGATATCAGCTGATACATGGGAACTGAAGGCTGAATGTATAATGTGTAGAACAACAGTTCATCAAGGTTGTAAGCAGTTTGAAAATGACAAGGTGGAACAGGCTAAGGTTAAGCGCAATCTTCATAAAGGTAATCTTGAAGCGCTAACTTGCACTCTAACCTTACAACATGTATGTAGTTTATATAGTAATTTTGCTCTTTCAATGTCAGGTCTTCAAAATCACCTTAGGTCTCATCAGGCTCAATCCATTGAAAAAAAAAAAACAGCAGTCAATCCTTGTGCCTTCTTGTACACTTTGCTATAAAGTATGGAAGTCAGCTTCTGGATTAATAAGACGTGAAAATTCACATTGATGCTATGCCTGTTGGACTTGGGGATCTCCCTTTCAGGTGCAACATTTGTGCAAAAGCTTGAAAAGTAAAGCTGTTTTAAAGAGTCATCTGCACGCTCATGATCGGTGAGTCTGAAAGTTATATAATCCCACCACCAAAAAAACAAAAAAAGAAAACTAAACAAAAAAAGAAAACAAAACAAAAAAAGAAAACAAAACAAAAAAAGAAAACAAAACAAAAGAAATTTGTTTTGGAATTGGTCTTCTGTCAAGAAGTGACAATCACTATATATATATATATATATATATATATATATATATATATATATATATATATGCACCTAGAGGTGTTGTAATGGTTAGCAAGCTTGTCTCACTAGAACAAGTACGACTGAGTAGTGAGTTTGATCCTCACTGGGTGCCCCATACTTTTGGCCTTGTGCTGTATCTGAGCTACACTTGGGGGGGTGAATATATATATATATATATATATATATATATATATATATATATATAAAAAGGGGCAGCCAAACCATCCAAAGAACTCATTCTCTCATTCCAGTAAAAGGCTACATAGCAAATATGGAGCGAATGTTATTGTGATTAGAATTATTACAATGGGTACTGATTGGTCAAGCAGAGAGCAGTCATCTGAATGACCGATTTAGAGGCCTGGGCAATTTATGCTTGACATCACCAGTGACCAGGCAAGACCCACATAGCCATGAAACACTGGTGCTACCACAAGTAACAACCAAACCCACCAATAGACTAATCTTCAGAGTACATTATGACCAGAGAGGAGATGAAAAAATTTGCTTATCTTCTCAGTTGTTTACTGTCACATGCAATTTTTTTACCTTGTTTTATATCAAGAATATGATTTATTTGAAAACTTCATCCATGTTGGCTTTCTACTGAAGAAATATTTTTATCCAAAAATATCAAAAGTTAATGACTTGTCAACAGAAGCCTGTTTGATAGAAGCTTGTAATGATAATGATGATAGGAATTTATTTATCATGTCTTTGATGATCATTTTATTTGGTGATTTTGTTGTTCCACATGACAATAAAGACAATGTTCTTAAAAATGTCTATCTTGCATGTAAATATGATAAAATTATTTTTTCCATAAAAAACATGACACAAGGCAATCACATAGAAAAAAATTTAAATAATTAACTTGCTACACTAATATGTTGATTGCAATGCTATGAATAATCAAGAGTGGTCTCCTCTTGTTTTGTTACTCTCTCCTCTTTGAGAGAGCTATTTCTGTTTATTGGGACCATAAAAGGACACTATACACAAACCTTGTATTCTCAGTTGAATAAAGCTTTCTTAAAGTCTACACCTATGTACTTTTGTCATTACATGCAGTATAGAAAAAAATGTGTCTTTAAAAAAAATAAATAAATAAAAACACTGCCAACAACTTTTTTTAGTAAGGTGTTTTTACAATACAATCCAAAATTTTAAAAATAAACAGAATTCAATAAGTAATTAATAGTACAATATGACTATTAATAGTAGAATATGACTATTAATAGTAGAATATGACTAAAAAGCAAAGAAAGAAAGAAAAAAATTAAACTAATTTTTTAATAAAGAAGAAAAAGATGAGGGTGTCAAAATGAGCAGCAAAAGAATATGAACTGCACTTAAAAGCAATTCTAATTCTACTGCAATACCAAACCAAACTAGTAACACTATTTTAAGCACTAAAGTATCAGTCATTTGACTAAACCATCCGTAATAATAAAAGCAATAAGTGACTGTGGTTGCTACTGCTTTGTTAATATTTGTTCTCCTACTACAATTACCAGTACTACTAGTAGTTGCAGAACTGGCTATACAAACATATCCAAGATGAAACACAGCTGAATCAATTGGTTTACACATGTGAATAGAAATAGTAGCTAGCAACAAGTACAAACATGGCTAATAGTATTAGTAATAGGGCAAGGAAATACTAAGTCTCATATTGCGAGTCATATCTTTTTTAAAACTAAATGGCCAAAATTAAAACAGAATATATGAAAAACATTATAGAAGCAATAAGAATTTTGAATCAACTTGTTCCTCTGCCTGTGGACACACAAAGTTTAAATAAAAGCGCAAAAATAAAATATAGCAAGAAAACATTAAAATTGAATTGAAATTCAATATGAAACTTGAGGAAAAGAAGAAAGCATTTTGGTCAGTAAGAATTTTTTTTCGTTATGTAAGCTCTAAAATTATTAGCATATCTGTCATCTCAAACAGACATTTTTTTTATTTTTTTGTGGCATATTCTTAAAAGTTCAAGGATTATTACTCTGCTGTTTGTATAATGTAACTCGCCATACAACCTGTTGCATTTTATCCAGAGAGGTGATGAACATTGTCAAGTGGCTCAAAACAATGCCATGTAGGATCCAGCATGTGAACCTCAACAATCTACTAAATTGTTGAACAATTTGATTTGGTTTGAATTACTTAGCATCAATTAGATTAAAAATGAAATATATAAAGAGTAAGTTGTAAGTAATTATTTAACAGAAAGCTTATGACCATATCACACTGAAATACTGGTTCTCATATGATCACTGAAGTTAAGTAGCACCAAGCCTGGTTAGTACCTAGATGGGTGACCACTTGGGAATACCAGATGTTGTAA